CAGATTTTACTGTTGACTTCAGGGACTTTTTTGATAAGATTAAAAAAGGGGGGGGCATGTAAGAAGTGAAATATTATTGGAAAATAAGGAAACAACAAAGAACAGTGTTACCATGGGAATCCAGATTGCTTGCTCGGGTCTCTAAATCTTGTCCTGGTTTGTTGGAAAGATGCAACAAGGTTCTGCAGTTGCCTCTGAGTCTCCTCATATCAAAGCATCAGGCCTGGGCACAGTAGAATCTCATCATAAATAGTTTCTGGATGAATCCGTGGAAGATGGCTTGACAGTAAGAAATGTATCATGAAAACGTTACATGGCTAATGAGAGTGAGACCTCATCGAGAAGCAGTCTGGTGACTAGGTTGTATGTAGTTAGCGTAGAACTATGCACAAAGAGTTTTAGAACTGTACACTTAGAATTTCTCTAGCTTAGAAATATGCAGTGTCGGGCATTCTAGAGGAAAGGGCAGCTCAGATAGAGAAGGGAACACCAAATAAAGGGTGTTTGGAGGATCCTCCCAGGAGGGGAGATGCATGTCGAAAGTGGACTATGGACTGAACATGTTTGCCACTCAATTCCTCTTTTGCAGACCACAACACCCAAAAGGAGAGAGAGAACACAGGGGATTGCCCTGCCACAGAGGCAGGGGGGATGGGGGATGGGGGTGGGGGGGATATTATCCATGGTGGTGGAAAATGGGCACTGGTGGAGGGATGGGTATCTGATCATTGTATAATCAACCCCAAGCACAAAAAATTGTAAATCTACAACTGTACCTCATGGTGTTTCACTAATAAAAAAAATTTTAAAAACAAACAAACAAACAAAAAGAAATATGCAGTGTCCTCACAGTACTCCCATGGAAGCCAAATCATATAGCATGGTTAAAATGGAGCTGGTGAATTTTTGTGTACATTTGTGTTTGCCCTTTTCCATTTCAACACAAGTTTGTTCCATTTCAACGCAATTTGCCTTGTTTTAAAATGGAACTAAGGATTGCCATGCTACGTTAAGATGGCAGCATAACCTCATGGCTAATAAGACTATGCTAAAGACAGGTTGACTTACCATGCATGAACTGTAGCTAGCTAATTTATCTTATTCATTTGTAAAATAAGGATAAAAGGAGCACTTATTTTGTATTGGTGAGAATAGGGAAAGTAAACCTTACTTTGTATTGATGAAAATAAATAAATAAAGTGGAGCACTGAAAACAATGCCTGATATTATTGTTTCACTTTGCATTGTTTTGTTAAGAGAAGGTATGGTAAGAGCAAGGTTCAGACAATTAGGAGAAACAGTAGACTGTTTTCAAGTACAACCAATCTATTTGCCCATTCCAAAAAATATCTGATGCCCAGTCAGTATATTTACTTTAGTCGATGTTGCACTGCCATCTTAATAGCATGACAAATCTATAGCAAATGAGTGCCTTAGAAGTTGTAGATTTTTATCTGAACAAGAAAAGTATCATGCAGACTTTTAAATGTGGATGTTTTAGGAAAGAACAATATACACAATTAAAGTATTTTTGTACTTCAAGTCACAATAGGATATTATTTATATTTTTTATTGTAAGTTGCGAGTATATTACCACCCCAAGGTCTTTTTTAGATTTGATAAGGGAGTAATATGGGTGGGTTTATTGCTTCTATAATTGTGTAAACTTCTTTCATATTTGAAAATACTCAAATGAAATAGCAAAGTTCTAGACTGCTTCTTGTTAAAAATGTTTGTCTTGTATATGAAATATATGAAGACCATTTTAACTTTCAGAAATGGTATTTATTCTGATTTTAGGATAATAGAGTTCATTTTTAAAAGAATGAGAAGGCCTAATCCTGATAAAAGTAAAATTTACAACTTCCAGATGCAGAATCTTCAATATGTTCTCATAGTTTACATGATTACTTTAATTTTATGATCAAAATGTTGTTAATGTGTTCAATGTAATTGTAGTAGGATTGATTTTTCTGAACTTTTACAGAAATATTTTCAGAGCTTAAATTTCTAGGTGTCTCTTCAAGTGAAATATTTATATGGCCACAAATGTGAATAGAGAAGCCAATGTGTACTTCATAATTACTAAGTAAAGAACACACTTAATGTCAGCTAAAATATAACTTGATATTACACATAAGAAGTTTCATTCTTAAGATCAAATCAGATTATATTTTTGTGAAAGAAAACATTTCATCATTGTATTAAGAACAATATAGAGGCATTAGAAGGCATCCTATATAAGAGAAAAATGTATTTATTAAGAACAAAAAACACACCTGCAAATATCTGTCCCTTTCTATAAATTTCATTTTGAGTGTCAAAGGAATTCAATAGTATCATAAATATAATTTGTATTCTACACAATTATGGTCTAAGTAGATGCAGTCCAAAGGGAGTTTGCCTATTTGATTTTTAAATTTGCATCACTTAAAATCCAATAAGACCAACTGTTTAGATTTTTATTAAATATGAAATACATGAATGGGTTCAGCCTACACCCTATATCAAAAGAACATATTTGATTTTCAGCAGGGCAAAGCAAAGGGGTTCAGCTAGCACATAGTTCAGTCCCATCCCTGTAAAGATTGCTTACTGACTGCTTGAATTGTTACCGTATTATACCCTTCGATTTTCGGTAACCAGTGTTTTATAGGCCAGCAGATTGCCTTTGATTTTTGAGAATTTGCGGTAACATATTGAGTTTAACAGATTTATGCAAGAAAGTAAAATAAAAATAGTGTAGCTGGCACTAGGGATTTTAGAACACAGAGGGGATTAGGTTTCCAGATGGCTGGTACAGATAATGGCATTGAGTAATTTAGCCATGTAAGGTAATCTGTTGTTGACAGAATACATTAACATTTACCCGACATATACAGGTGTTTGGGTTGTGCAGTACATGCGACTCAGAGAGCAATCAGTACCATTTTCAGTGTAAGTTTAAAGTTTGAAGTCTCTCAAACATATCTGAATTTAAGGGTTTATTTTAGGGAGGTGCTGTAAGAGATTGCCAGACTATTCTATTTAACTTGTTTAGCCCCCTCTGTCTTCCAAGTCATCATCCTTGTTTGCCGCTCCATAAAATCTAGATCTTCACAGAAATTTTAAGGAATCGTTTAATTAAGCAGGAGTCTAGAAGCTACCAAGAGTATCTTACCTGGCAAGCTCCCTGTGACATATTCGATATGCCAAACACAGTAACAAGTCAACAGTGTTACTGGGCCCACTCGAGCAAATCAATGAACAATGGGAGGACAGTGACAGTGACATTGATTCTAGAAAAAAGAGGCAGAAAACTATGCATGTAGCTCCTTTTTCTGAAAAATGGCAAGGTTTCCTATCCATTCCACATCAAAAATCATTTATCCTGGGATAATAGAGTCATCTGTGATCTTATTTAAAAATACAAATGTTAACACCTACTTCTCGAAAGTGCTTTAGTTGATTCTAATGTACAGCCAGAGTTATGTACGTCTTTTCAATAATTACATGCACTTTCACTATTAAGATCAGTACTCCAAAGACTTTTCCATTTCTCCATCTAAACTCTCCAGTCCACAACTATCAGACTATATTCCCCTAGAAGTTTTTGAATTAAAACTTTAACCTACCCAGAAGTCTCTAAGGATGCTGGTATCAACTCTTAACTGTATTTCTTAAGGCTTTATAGCTACTGGCCACCTTCCCTGGACTAGTGTGCACTTCTGGGTATATCCCAGTTAGACTTATACCAGAGCTGTGTATTTCATAGGTCACAGCCATTCTTATTTCAGCGCCTTTCTTTAATCAGAGTTCTGCCTTTCTACTTGAATTCATTCTTTATTCTGCTGCATGTCACCTATTCAAATCCAATTTCTCCCGTGAAGTCTGTGTACAAAATTTTTAGAATCCCACTGCCCTCTTTCTGTAAGTAAAATGTTATTATATTTGTGGTCTTCATTATACTTCACATCATTCCTACTATTTTTTCTTATATTGTTAGTTTTTTGCTTCAGAACTGTTATGTGTTGTTTTTCTCCCATTACTCACTTTGTACTAGTCAAGCTGGACCAAACCAAGCTAAACTAACAAAGAAAATTTAAAAAAAAAAAGGGGGGGGGATGAAATAGGCATATAGTAGATGGTCAGAAAATAAATGTTCAAAGATTATCATCCAAAAACAAGATAAGCATTAGTTGGGAGTGGATAAACAACATTTGAGTTTAAAAGACTTTCAGAGTAGAGACAAGGGCCAGGAGTATCACTCCTCAGTTCAGCCTCCCTCATGTGCCGGGGGAAAAAGTGGTTGGTATGGAGAAGGGATCACTAAGTCAATGATGGTTGGAGGGATAGCTCTGGATGGGAGATGTGTGCTGAAAGTAGACTAAGAACCAAACATGATGGCCTCTCAGTATCTTTGTTACAAACCTTAAGGCCCAAAAGTAGAGTGAGAGTAAGAAAGAAGGTGCCTGCCACAGTGACAGGGGATGGGCTGGAGTTGAGGGATACTAGGGACGTTGGTGGTGGTTGGATGGACGTTTGATCATTGTATGACTGAAACTCAATCGTGAAAGTTTTGTAACTGTATCTCATGGTGATTAAATAAAAACATTTAAAAAACAGTCAAGTAAGAATTTTAAAGAAATTTAGTTTTGGGGCTGGAGCAATAGCACAGCAGGTAGGGTGTTTTCCATGCACATGACTGACCTGGGTTCGATTCCCAGCATCCCATATGGTCCTCAAGCACCGCCAGGAATAATTCCTGAGTGGATGAGCCAGGAGTATACCCAAAGAGAAAAAAAAAAGCAAAAAAAAAAAAACAAGGAAAAGAAAAAAGAAAAAAAGTACGAAAGAAGAGAAATTAGTATTATGTTGCACAAATTGTAACTCAAATAGAAATTTGATGAAGATTTTATACACGGTATTTTTGTATTGAATTAATTTCCCTCTCCAAAAAGATAAAGGGTAAAGCATTCGTGTAAGAGAAAATTTTAATTTCATCATGGTAGTGTTTGAAGATTGACATTTGTGGTGCTTCTTCTATGATGCGTGAGGACATGGGCAACAGACTATGGTCCATTAAATTTTATGTTTCCTCTATGGTTTCTTCTTCAGTACAAAGGCAGAGTTGACTAGTAGGGCAGACACTGTAATACAAAGAAATTAACAAGTTTATTTTTCAGTATCCAGAGGCATAGTGCAGCAGGTAAGACATTTGTCTGTATGCTCTAAGTGTCACCTGGATTCTATCCTCAGTACCCCTTTGAGCACTGCTGGGAGAGCTTTTAAGCATTGAGGCAGGAGTAAGCCCTGAGCACTGCCAAGTGGACACCCTTCCCAGCCCCCACCAAAGCAATAAATAAATAAAATATTTATTTTTTAGTCCTATGCAGAAATAATTTGCTGATTCCTCTTTTGGAATATAGGTTTGAAACTCTAATGACTTAAATCATTTAAATCACTGAATACTAATGAAGAGGTAAAAGTTATTAACTTATTAAACATTCTTAGTAATTCATAGTAAGTCTTAGTAAGTCTTTTCATGGTTAGTTAGATCATAAAATATGTGCAATCAAAGCAAGTGCCCTCCACCACATGAATGTTCTCTTCCTTCATAATTTCTGTTGGTTTAACAATTTCAGTCTTTGAAACAGAGGAACCCTAGGCTCTGTTAGAGGCACCTGTGAGAGAGTGGGTGGACCGTTCTCCTTTCCCACAGCTCCTTATCAAGGGAAGTTAATTTTTGTCTGTTCTTTTCATTGTGCCCAGAAAATCTTCCTTAAAACATTGTTTTTTGCCCTAATTCATAGGATTATATTTTTACTTCATGACTTAGGGTTTATGTCTCATATAAAGTATTTTTCTGTAGAAAAATGCTGTAAGTTTTGCTATTTAAACGTGATCTATTAATACCTTAGGATTGCATTTGAGTTTTGGAGCTACACCTAGCAGTGTTCAGAGCTTACTCCTGGCTCTGTGCTCATGGATCACTCCAGGAAGTGTGGGGGAGGGGAGGGAGGGGGCAGATGTGGTTCTGGGCTTAAACCCAGGTCAGCTACATGCAAAGCAAGTCCCTTATCCACTGTGTGATCTCTTTGGTCCCAAATATATCTGTGTTTAATGACAGCATCCCTCTGATTATAACAAAAGTGATAGAAACTAGACTTTGTGAAAGAATAGTTTCGTGCAGTTGTTAAGAGTCATGGATTTAGAATTTAGAAAATACACTACTTGATGTTTTAAGCAAGAGACATGAAAAAGGCTAGTTTATAATTATTGTCAAATTTTAGAATTTGGTGGTTACTAAATTGTCGTTACGTTTAAATAATGGTAAAGCACTTACAGAGCTCATTGTGCTGAAATATCAAAGCAATCTTGGAAGTATCAGGTCACTTCATTTCAATACATAGCACAGGATCTTCATGGTCATTCATTCAGTGGAAGAACACACAGCTAACTGTGACAGAATAACTCAGTTGCTTTATCCAGAGTCTGCATAATGTTAGACAATTAGACACCCTAAGCAAGTGTATTTTCTGTATTGATTGCAGCTATTTAAGGAAGTTAGATGTCAATATTTATGATGATTCTGGAGCAAATGGACAAACCACAGAGATCTGGTGGAAAATGATTTCAAAATCAGAAAATTCCAGATAGAAAAGTGGCACAATCTCATCCAATGTGTATCACAAGTGGGAATCCTCACTCAACATCTCCAGCTCCTGCTGTAAAACGTGCTGTGCTGGTAAAGACCGAGAGGCAAGTGTCACACCAGGCTTTGCCTGTTATTTGTTGATCTCAAGGCTCTGATTTGAGTTCTGACTTTGCAGCGTGCCTCCTGCCGGATGAATCTGGGGAAGTGACTTAGCAAGTGTACATTCCCGTATCTACATTAGTTCGGAGTTCTTCTCAGGGTTACTCAGCTAATAGGGTTTGAAGTTCACTGCTACAGCCAAAGGATGCAGTGCTGCTCAAGCTTTGTAGTGCTAGGGATCACGCAGACCATTCTGGCATTTGCCAGGAATGGAACTGGGGTTCTGAACCCCAGTATTACCTGACCTTCTGTCTCACCTCAGTCTCCTGTCATTCTTTCTCCTGATCTTTCCTGCCCCACATCCTGTGCTCTATCCTCTTCATATTTCATGTTCCCCAACTGTCAGACTCCTATTGGGTCCGACCAGTGGGCACCAGTAAGAGATGAAGGAAGGACCAAGGAGAGAGGATCTGGTGCTTCTATTCTGTTCTCTGGATGCTCTAGGCTGTATATTTTATCTAAGTTCTTCCCTGTGTATAGTTTCCTGTTCCTTTAGAAAAGATACCCCCATAGTTCTGATCCTTAGTTGGTAACCTATAGACAGTTCTCCTGCTTCTTTTGATCTAAGATTCTGGTGGAGAAGGGGGACAGGAAAGGCAGTGGTTGTTTTTTGGGAACAATCAGCAATACTCAGGGCTTCCTCCTGGTTCAATTATTACGAACCATTCTTGGCTGTCTTCAGGGAGTTCTAATACACGCAAGGCAAATGCCTTCACTCCTGCACTACTTATCTGATCGCAGATCTGGGAGTTCTGAGAACTTCCCTTGTTTGATGTTACAATCTGAGAAAGTTTCTTGTAAACCCCTTACCCCTTCTCCTGCCTCTCTGACAATTGTCTCTTTCGAAAAATCTCTTAAGCCACTGCTATTGGTTTTCTTAATGCTACCATGATTCTGCCTCATCCAAGTACCTGTCCTGTCCTAGTTCTGTCACATAGGTGTGAAGCTCAAATGCTGTAAAGAAAGATGAATGCATTTTATATAGTCTAAGAAGAAATGTAAATTTAGGGTTTTTTTTGTTTTGGGGCCACATCCATAGCAGCTCAAGAGTTACTCTTGGCTGTGCACTCAGGGATCACTCCTGGCCCTGGGGACCTTATGGAATGCCAGAATCGAGCCCAGGTTGGCTTCTTACAAGGCAAGTGCCTTACCAGCTGTACTATCGCTTCAACCCTAAATTTAGTTTTCTATTTTGCTTCCCCAAAGTACCCATTCGTATTTCATTCATCTTTAATTGTTACTATCTTTAACTTCAGCTTGTTTGTTCCTAAATTCCCTTAATGATGACCTATCTCTCAATGTTCGAATGTAAATATAGCCTTGACAACACTTCATATTCAAGCATTTGCCTCCCAACTCAGTGCTTTTACTCCTCAGTGGTAATCAGTCTGAATTGCAAGCCACATTATTCAGAAAATTTGGTTGTAAGCTACCCTTCCATTATGGTCACTCTTTGCATTTAACAGAAGTGTTGCATGTTGTTCCTCATTTACTATTTAAAACTTAATATTCTAGTTCTTATCTCACTAATAGGAGTGAATCATTTTATTCACATCCTACATATTAGGTAGAAAGCTGACTCCTTTAGTGTATACACCTGACTTCCCATAGCCTCTGAATAATTTGCCTTATTCATTCAAAGGGACGGTATCAGTGTGCTTCAGCAAACGCCCTTGGAGATGTGACTTTGGGCTCAGTGGTTCCAATGTAGATGCTGGAGGAAGAGAGGAGGCGAGATTAATGTGATGTGAAAGCTTGAAATGTTTTCGACTTTGCTAAAGGAAGGAAATCATGAGCTGTGGAATGTGGAAGAGCCCCAGAAACTAGAAGAGATGAAGAAAGAGATTTTCCCCTAGACAGCTCAGAAGGGAATACTGGCTTGTTAACTCTAATTTTAGCCCCAAACAACTTATAAGACTTTATATATATATATATATATATATATATATATATATACATATATATATGTGTGTGTGTGTGTATGTGTGTATATATATACATATATATAAAACTTAGTTGTTTTAAACCACAAAACTTGCAGTTACTGTTACAATGTAAGAGAAAATGAAGACACCTAACAATTTTTTTAAATTCCTTTATCAGTTTTTCTCCTTAACCATGCATTTATTGTCTAGTGTGTTACATAGCTATACAAGACCCATCCACTAAGCAGCCTGAATGGCGTGGTGACCATGTAACTATTCTAGATATTGGATTGGCCATGTCAGGAACCTTGAAAATGTGCAGAAATTTGACACGTGTTACTTATCTCCCAGCCAACAGTATAGAGCATTCATTCACCACTATTTGAGACCCTATCCAGTACATAATTGTGGATATATTATTTATCTTCTTGACTATCAAGGCATATTATTTACTTTAAAAATAAAACAATAACATACATAGAGAAATTTTCACACACCCCCACTTCAGAAATTCTAAAATTGATAAAATAGACTGATGAGAAATTCTTATGCAATTGAGATCTTAGATTTTATAATCAGAATCCCCTTTCATCTTTTTCACCATGTTGTAGTATAAGGATTCACATAATGAACAAAAAGTAACTTGCTTATGAATTTATTGTTTTTTTCCCACTGTCTAAAGTGATTTGTCTTAAGCCACGCTTTATACTTTGCCTTGATGTAGAAGTGTGGGACTGTTAAAACAGACAATCTATTGGGAACTTACTAAGTGACTCTATTTAGTAGATGACATCAAGTAAACAATTAATTCCCCGTTTAACAGTGTAATTAGGGTAATCTTTGATTTTTCTGCATTTCTTTTCGTTGGACATTAGAGACCTTGGTGGTCCCTTCAAAGCCATTTACACAGGTTGAAGTGGTAAGGTTCGCCCTTTTCATTGGATCATATTTTCTCTTTGCTGAGAAAGCCTTGTATTTTCCTTTAGGCACTTGGTTGGAACAGAATCCATATCAATTTGTCTCAGCCACTGAATGGTACTTACTATGTTATATAGTGAGCCATAAAGTTCTGTTCATAATAAATAGGTGAGCTGCTTTTTCAAACCTGTTTCTCATTTAATTTAATGCAGAATATTTAAATTGGCCACATGATGTTAATTCATGTTGAAAAGGTTTCCAGTTTAGATTCCCAACCCTCAGAGTATGCCAGGCCAATATGAGAAAAGATTTATTTATTTTTTAAAAGAGCAGAATAATTTAATTTCGATTTTACTCTAATAGTTAGCCTCATCTTCTTCTTTCATAACCACTTCTTAAAATCCACTAGAGGAAATCTACTCAAGTCATATTTCTAAGATCCTGATGTAAGAGAAAGCCATTCTTTTGAAGGTTGTAAGAAAGATTGTCTCACAGTTTTCCTGACTCAACTGTAAAGTTACCATGAGTATATTTTATGCACTTGAGAAGTGGCCAAGAGTAAGGAATTTGATGTTTGAAATGCTTAATCAAATTTACATGCATTTGCAAATTCAAGGAAACACAATAGAGCTTGTAAAAGCGCTCTAATTTTTTGTTTTAAGTTGCTGCCTTCATTTGCTAACAACTCTTTACCATGTACTAACTAAAAGAGAGCAGTTGCAAACAATATCCTTGTCCTGAGATTCTGGTCGACTTTAACTGTGCTTGTTCAGCTAGCAAAACCATTAGCTACTTCTTGATAGTTTTTACGATCAGACATAGCACCTAGTATTGAGCAAGCACTGAAGAATGCATCTTCCGTTAAAAGCTTGATTTATTAGTTTATATGTAAAAGAACACTGGAGGTTATAAAGGTAACAAAGACCTTAAACATTATATTGATTTTTTTCCCCAGAGCTTTTTTTCTTCCTGTTGTATTGCAGGGCAATAAAATTTCACTAGACCCATTGGATCCATAAAATCTGAAGTACAACTGCAAACTGATAGAAATGAAATTGTTTGACTGTAGCGATAAGCAAGGACTCGGCTTTGAACTCTGAGCAGTATAAGTCGTTTTGCTGGCCTGTGAGGGTGAATTACAGCCTGTAGTGTGCAAAAGGACAAACATGTATTTGCAGGAGCTTCCAATTCAGTAATCACTGGGCTATGCAGTGACCTTTCCCTGGACACAGTGGCCTCAAAAGAGAACCTTTAGAAATAGAAAATCAACAGCATGATTTTTTTAATAATTTAGATTTACCCCTCCCCCTTATATGGGTTCAGTTGTGGATATAAGATATTTGATTAAAGAGATACAAAGGAAAATAAGCTCTGCTTGCAAATATCAGTGTACCTAATTTTTAAAATAGTTATCCTCAAAGGATGGGATGTCAGGCTTAGCATTATATATCAAAGCCTTCCCTTTGCTCCCCACGTTCAATGGCTTCTTCCCTGTCAGCCTCACCAGTCAAGTACACAGATGACAAGCCTTAACAGAGCTCCCAGGGCTCCAAATGATAATAGAGTGAGGGAGGTGCTCACCCTCCATGTGGTCAACCCTGATTTCATCCACAGCACAACGTGTCTGGCATTGCACATGGTCCCAAGCCCCACTTTGAGCGATCCCTGAGCACAACCCAAAGTAAGGCCTGAGCACAGCTGGGTATGACCCCCAAGACTAACCAAACTGAAATAAAACCCAATGATCTCTAAGACTCACCCGGACAAGTTGAAATTTCTGATTTGAAATGGATTTGAAAATAACATGTAAATTCAGAACTTAGTGGGCATGGATTATTTTATAACTGCCCAGTTGCCATTCATTGTTGGGGGTGGTTTAGGAGAGACTAGAGTGAGGGATGCCCTAGCCAATTAGCACCTACTTTAGTTAGTTTAGATAACTGACCTGGTGTTTTAGCAACTAGAACTTATGGAAGCATAAACAAGGTCTTATGGAAGCTCTCAGCTGGAGGAACTAAACCAACCTAAACAAAGAACTTTTGGTTGGTTTCTTTTTTTTTAAAGGGGTGGGGTGGGGAAGGGGTTGGGGGAGAGTTCTCAAAACACTGAAACCTCAATTCAAAGCTGGACTCTCAATAAGTGGTTTTCTTCCAAAAACTCATCATTAATCATGTAATTTTTCAGAATCCAGTTTGATTCTCTGCACTGTAGATCATTATTTTCTCATTTATTGAAAGCTCGGGTGCATAGGCTGATCCATGACAAGCTACTTGGGGGGGTTTTGGGTTTTGTTTTCTGTTAGGCTTTCATGTTGCTCACTAAACACCACATTAGCTCCTGTCATAATTGAAAACCAACTGTATTGGTGAAGGGTTGGGTCAGAGACTAGCTAAGAACCAGTGGATTTGGGATCTTTGTGAACGGACTAGATGTCATTATAAGCTGCTCTGCTACACTGGGAGTCAGATGCAGATGCTTGATCTTGCAGTGTGCCATTTCTATATTTCACACAGTCCCTAAAAGTTGGTGCTCTAAATTAATACCTGACTGTCTCTAATGTTGTAAATAAAAAACCCTGTACTTCTCATTTTCTCTAGAGGAAAAACTATGCCCATCCATACAATATATCTAGCACCCTTGTGTAAGTGAAGTGAGAAAACGTGGGAATTGAGGAGACCAGTGATGTGCATTCTTATCTTGAGCTGGGATGGTGCTGGTGATGCGCTAATTCAATGTCTATGGTTAAGGACCCCTAAACAAGGGATGATATATGAGCTGCTCCATCCCACTTTAGGGACCCTGCCAGATTCACACAGTGATTATTGTGTTCTTTAGGAAACCATCAGAACTGAATTCCAAATAACCACCATTGCTGTCATGCTAGTAGGAACCCAGATGCTTGTGTCATTTTTGCCCCAGAAGGTCACTTTAATGGACAGAACTATTTTTCACTGCCAAGAGTAAAAGTCATGTCTTTGATATGGGCCACAGGACACATAGCACATCTGCAAGCCCAGCTGTGTTATCCCAGCAAAACAGTAGGCTGAAAAATTGCTTGACCACAAAAATGCACGTGTGCCTTGCGTTTGAATCATTGCTAAGTGCATCTTAACTTAGGCCATGGAAATGACCTAAATGATTTAACAAAGCACAGCAACCCCCTGCCAGGAAGTCCTTTGGAAATTGGATCAGCAAGCAGCTAGGCCTTATCTTCCTGACTAATGTCTAGCCACGTTTCTATTTCTGTATCTGTCTCGAACTATGCCTATCTAAACCTTTGTTGTTCCTGGTCATGCCAGAAAGGTGTGCACAGACTTTAAATGGAGTAGTATTTAACATCAAACCAATGAAAGCTACCCTGGGTGTCCAAGAGACTATCAGATATAAGAATGCACACTCTGCAGACAGATTATAACCGAAAATTCCTGCTGGGCCAGTTGATTTATCTCAGGAATTCTACCCCTTGACTTTCCCCTTATCTTTCCTTCTTTTATCATTGAAAGCATGCCAGTCTTACAGAAGATTGACTAGAAATGAACACATCATAATGTACGCCATGATTCAGGATCTGTTTTAAACAATGTCTTAGGACATGGACGTTATTATCTCATTTCCCAGATGAGACAACCTAGTCTCAGAGTTTAAATTGCTTAAACTTAATGTTCAAATGTGATGGTTTTCACATTGGATATTAAATATATTAATGTCAAAACCAACCTACAAGTTTGGGTTTGGCAAAAAAATAAAAGATCCAATGAAGTTTATTACTTTGCTTCATTTTAACAAGTCATAAGAAAAACTATCTTTACAGTTTTTTTCTTTGAAAAATGTTATCCTTCCTTTTCTGGTACTAATTCAAGGTTTTGTAGGTTCTGGTTTATGAAAGAAATATGACTTCTTCCATGATTTCCATGACTTCCTTCCAAAGAAGGGAGCACCAAATAAAGTGTGTTTGGAGGATCCTCCCAGGAGGGGAGATGTATGTTGAAAGTAGACTATGGACTGAACATGTTTGCAAAATGGGCACTGATGGAGGGATGGGTATTTGATCATTGTATAATCAAAACCCAAGCACAAAAAATTGTAAATCTACAGCTGTACCTTATGGTGTTTCACTAATAAAAAGGGGAAAAAAGGGATTCATAATTTTCTGACATATGCAGATACACAAAACTCTTACAATTACTAAAGAAACATGAAGATGCTATCAGAAATCATTGCTTTCAAGTCTTGTTTGGTACCCAGTAATTCTTTTCCCATCAAGGTATTCCTTACCCCCCACAGACCACTTTTCTCCTCTTCATCTTACCTGATCAGTCTCAGAAAAAAAGAAGAGTTGAGATTTTATGTGTGAAATCTGTATGTTGACTTGAAGAGCTCTTTTCCCAGTCTCTCTAAAATAAGTGACATAGCCTCACTTATGCTCCATGTAGGTGAGACGTCAGCATTTGACCTTCGCAAGCAATCCAAAGTGGCAGGGTCACTTGCCTATAAATAAAACTACATTTAGCTATGGCTTTTTTAGAAATTGGCAGAGATGCCATTCAGTCTCAAGGATTATCAAATGCTTGAGATTGAATGGCAGTTTGAAGCATTGTTAATTCCAAGATATTTTTTTCCCTCTGTTCAAGTCATTCTTGAGGAGTCGTTTTCATTTGCCTGTCTGTTCACATTTTATGGCATGCAAGTGACAAGAATTCCCTGCAACACATTGTAGGAGGGCACTTGCTAAAAGAGAGTTCAAGTTGAATGACATTGGATGTGAAATGCAACCTTTTTTCTGCCAGTCTGTGTGATATTTAGCATTCCTTGACATATGCTAAACTATATCATTCCTAAACATTTGGAAATCCCCTGGGGATGTCACATGGTATATGTGGGTCAGAATTCTTATTATACTAGTTGAAAAATCGAAAATAGTTAATAAAATTTCAAATCAATGTTTTATCTGATATGTGTCATACAGATTTGACACAGTGTGACTTTAAAGTTTTAAGTAATGGTTTTTAAACTCTGTTTTTAAACACTTTTGGGATAATTATTTATGGTAAGTTTTCCTAACATGTACTATCTATTAAAATTGACATATGTTTTTAATAGTGAAGATGTTGGTATCTAAGATATCTGAAAATAAAAGTTATTGGTAAAGGTAATGCAGGTATATGGACCATATGAGTATTTTATTTTCTTTTCTCAGGGGTTCTAGGCATATTACTATCTGCTGTCTTTTATAGTCAAACTATCAGTGACTGATTAAATTTTCCATTAGAGAAACATTTTAACTAATTTCTCATTAAAATGTTCCTAAGGTCCTGCATTTTATTTTCTCAATTAGATGAGTATTTACTTTGCTAGCATGTGGTGATTATGTTTTCCTTACTTGTATGTTTTATAATTGAAATCTTTGCACCTGTATCATTATGCCTAAAAGCTCCCAGAAATACAACATACCTGTGTTTCTGCAAAGAAAGAAGGATGGAGTAAGGAAAACAGAGGGAAACTAGTTCTTCTCTTATTCCCTCTCTTCTTCTTCCATATTATTTCCTTATATTCCTTAGTGGGTTTCATCTTAAACTGCTGTTACTCCACTGATGCATACTCTCAAATACATATCTTCATCCCAGACTTACCTGCACTTAAATCTGCTTGTTTGAGTGTGCATGTGTGTGTGTGAGAGCATGTGTGTGTAATGATATTTGTCTAATAGCAGCTAATATTTTATAATATCTGATACTTATATTTTCACTCCTCAAACCTATTTTCTTTCAATATTTTCATCCCTGTTTTAAAGCATATATCTTAATTCACCCAGTTGCTTAGATGTCAGATATGTGAGTTATGCTTCTCTTCCTTCTATTATTGTTCTATTCAGTCCCACTGCAGGTCCTATCAGGAACTACTGGGAGTGCTCAGGAGTCCATTTGTGGTCCTTGAGATCAAACTGAGATCAGACTCATAACAAAATTTTGGGGACATTTCTCTATCCCCATCAGACTGGCATTTTAATGCTATGATCTGTTTCTCCTATACTTTTTTTTAAAGGGAAAATGAAGAGGTGCTAAATATTTTATTCCACAAATTAATAAATTGATGAACGAACAAGGTAAATGTTATGTAATTGGTTCAAAGGAGAATTTGAAGTACAAACATATTATAAGTCAGAAATATTGAAATGAATGTAAAAATAAAGGCAAATTAGTTTTTCCACAGGAGCTATACTTTTAATCAAAGTATGTCCTTCCTTTGTTGTCTCAAACAAATACCTTATTAAATAACAGTGTAAAAAACTTGTCTCTCCTTTCTTTTCTTCCTTTTTTCTCCTTATAGTATGAGATTATAAAAAAAAACTCATGTTCCTTTAAGGATTCAAATCCAATCATGCTTACCATTACCACCCTCTAAAACACTTTAAGAATTTCTCACTTGTAACTCTGCTTCCTCTTTTGGCTTGTGGTGGCCAAATTCTTCAAATAGCAACTAGGATGACCTTTAATAAACACATACATATAACAGCTTTTAATTTTTCCCATTTTTCTCTCCAAAACCTCCATTAATCTCAGTACCTTACCATTTGGATTAATCAGAATGAGGTGCTAATTAATTTTTAGCAACAATGAGGTTAATGACTTTGAAGCAGGCTGCCTCTTGGAGCTGGAAAGATAGTACAGTGGGTAGGGCATTTGCCTTGCACACAACCAACCTGGGTTTGATCACTGCCATCGTATATGGTCCCCAAGCACTGCCAACACTGCCAAGAGTAATCCCTGAGAATCCTGGGGTGGCAAAACAAAACAAAAGCAAGCTATCTCAGAAGATAAATTCTCCATACCTAAGTAATGCAGTAATGCACTCCTAGTTGCATCTCCAAAATAAGCAAACACGGGCTCATGCTCATGAGCACCTCTACTCAAAATAGCATAAAAGTAGAAACAATTCAGATGCCGATCAACAGATGAGCAGATAAATAAATGCTGGCTTCTCTATACAATAGAATATTTAGTCATTAAGGCAGAACAAAAAGCTGACATGTGCTTTGGTCAACTTTGAAAATAGAAAGCTGAGTCAGAGAAACATGGAAGACCCTGTATGTAAGATACTTTTCATATTAACTATCCAAAGTATGTATATTGGTGAAAGGGTCTGCTCAGATTCAGAATTACTTGGATAAAGAATTGAATGAGACACAGAAGGTAGCAAGCGGAGCAAGAGTGTATTTGAAAGTGAAGAGTTCACTCTAAGCTGAGTAATGAGGTCCCAGGATAAAAGTTCTTTTTCATTGTGGCTTCAGGGACGGTGCTTCAGGTGGTGTCAGTGGGAGGCATTGGGTGACTAGGAAGTCTTGGCGAGCCTCAATGAATGCAGGTTGTGTTATAGAATTTATCTGTCACTGATGGAGACTTTATCTGCACAAAAACTTCAGCTGTGGCATTTTCTTCTTGAGTCTCTTCATTTCTTCTCTTTTACGACAGGTTGGAAAGTCCAGAACTAACATGCAGCAGCCTGTGCATCACTCTTGTTTCCTTTCTAACCTGCCTATATTAGGTAATAGATAGTGAAAGATTGCAAGTTGGTGTGGTCTGGTTTTTTGAAGTAATAATCAATAGCTCCAACCGAGATCCGAAGTCCTTAGAAGACAGACTTCTCAACTGTATTAGACAGGTTGAATTGTAGACTATCCCCCAAAATGCTCTTGGTGTGGAGTGAATAAGCTTAGTTCTGCATGTCTGCCTTCTGCTTAGGGCTCTTATTTTTCATACATTCAGATTACGGGTGATTTTCACTTGACTTGATCCTTCCCTTGCTGCAGAGATTCTGGCAGCTTAGCTTTTAATCAGTGTTCCCAAGGTAATTAGACATACTTAAGCTTTGTCACTGCCTACATACATCTCCCGTACCCATTTCTCCATGCTTCTAACTCTCTTCACCCTTCATCGATTTCACGCTCTTGATATTTTGATACACAAAATAATGGAACCGGTTGTTTCTGCCATGCCTAGAACTTACTTGGAGTATATCATGTCTTTTCACTTGAACAGAAGAGTAGCCCTCTAATATTTGTCAGTCCTCTTTAACTGTTTATTTCTCACAAAGAACTGTTCCCTCTTCACTGTCTGCCTGGAATATGCAATGATGTCATTCACAGCACACTTAGGAACTGCATGTTTCTGGGGGTTATTATTACTGCTTTTGTGCTCAGGAGTAACTACTGGGGTTGCTCAGGGGTCCATTTGTGGTCCTGGAGATCAAACTGAGATCAGACTCATAATAAAAATTTGGGGACAATTCTCTATCCCCTCAGACTGGCATTTTAATGCTATGATCTGTTTCTCCTATACTTTTAATCTAAGTATTTCCTTCCTTTGTTGTCTTAATCAAGTGCCTTATTAAATAACAGTGTAAAAAACTTGTCTCTCCTTTTCTTTTTTCCCTTTTTTCATCTTATACTATGAGATTAAAAAAAACTCATGCTGGGGCTGGAGCAATAGCACAGTCAGTAGGGCGTTTGCCTTGCACCTGTCTGAACTGGGTTTGACCCAGGTTCGATTCCCAGCATCCCATATGGTCCCCCCGAGCATCGCCAGGAGTCATTCCTGACTGCAGAGCCAGGAGCAACCCCCTGAACATCGCTGGGTGTGACCCAAAAAGCAAAAAAAAAAAAAAAACTCATGCAAAAAATAAAATAGTCTTCTTATTTTCATTTCTGTGTTTTATATAATAATAATAATAGGTAATATTGTAGGTGCTTCTTTTGCATTAGGGGGGAAATGGCATCATTGTATTTCTAGTAACGACACATTTATACTGGTGTTTCTTGTATACTTCCGAACAAATGCTACATCAACTTTAAACCTCTGTATGAAAAATTAAATAAAGTTTGGATGTGAGCAAGAAGGGTTACTTACATATTGATTAGATGTCTGGCCATGGTTGGAACTCAATATTTTGAGAGATAACAAAACCAAGTGTCCCTCATGTTGTCATGTGTATTTTGTGCTCTAAACATAACTGCTTTTGGAAGGAGGGGTGCCTCCCTGTCTGATCCAATCTAAGAAATTCTGTCAAAGGAAAGGGTCAAAAATATATCACAGGGCTGGAGAGATAGCACAGTGGGTAGGGTGTTTGCCTTGCATGTGGCCAATGCCAGTTCGATTCCCAGCATCCCATATGGTCCCCCAAGCACCACCAGGAGTAATTCCTGAGTGCATGAAACAGGAGTAAACCCTGTGCATTGCAGGGTGTGACCAAAAAAACAAATATATATATATATATATAGACATATAGTAAAGATAGATAGATAGATAGATAGATAGATAGATAGATAGATAGATAGATAGATTTACAGGTTTGCTTTATTCTTCTTCAAATCCTCATTTCACACATAGAAA